AGAATTAATCCAAAAAATTTATTTTTATTTTTCACGGGCTTACGTTGCGAATTCGCCATGATACACGAAATGCAAATACGCAATTAAAAATGCAAATAAAACACACTATGTGCCGCACAATCCGACTATATTATTGTATCAGATTATTATCACCTTACATATTCGGTAGTCTGATCCACATGGCATTGTAAAGATACTCGAAAACGCTAACGCTACGAAAGATGATTGCCTTGGCGGTTACACGAAGGTCGTTAGAGGAGAGACGGAGGTGTATGCACATAATTGCGTTTTACCGGATTTCATTTTAATAAACTGAATTTTTAACATGCTACACCTAATCCAAATTACATACGCAACGCATCGTTTGTATCTTGACGCAGAAATCATATATTCAATAAAAATCTACAATCACGATCTAACCGCCAAATCACAGGCCGAACGATCGACGAAACGCCAGTAATCATTCGCGGTATAAATAATACATTCCGACAATCGACCGTTGTTTTAATTGACACTCACGGCAAAAATCTGTATTCATTATGCACTTTTAACGCGGATTAAAAGCGGAAAATAAGCGATTAACTAGAAGCGTTTGTTGCTAAACCGGAGCACATAAAAACATTTGACGATCAGAAGAGTAGCTTGCGCATGATCGGAGCGCATAAAATTGGCGCGAAACTAGCGCCAAAATATTCAAAGGCATGATTGTATGCACAAAATAAAAAGATTTAATATTATCAAAATTGCGCTGTACCCAAATTGTTCGTTATAATTAAACAAAAATCGAAGTACGTCCTACGTGAATTTAAAGAATATTTCTTCAAATTTTTAAATATATACTTACGTAATTTATTACATATAACTGTTTTAATCGAAAGATTAGAAATAATTAAATGATATATAATAATCAACATATATAAAAGGTATGATAATTCATAATAACTAAAATATATATTTTATCCAGGTACAGCTGAAAGTATACTAACTAGGGTACAACGATCAATAAGTAAATTAATTAATCGTAGTTCCATAATTACATAAAACACTGATATCATCTATTGTCGTTTTATTCATCAATATTTGCTATAATTGCTCGTATATAATTGATCGTGCTTTGACAATCACATTCTCCTCTGTATTTTATCTCATATGCAATTTATTATTGTTCACAGAGCATTTTCTAAATTACAAAATTACAAAATTTAAAAAATATAAATTATATGAATCAAGTATGTAAAAAAGAAATTTTTTATGACAAATTATTAAAAAACATTGATTTCAGCAATTAAAATTATGTGAATATAAATTTGGAGAACACGATGTTCAATATAATTTTAACATAAATACATATATTTTTCAATTAATCTTATTAATATGTTTAATCATTCAATATTTTTGTGAAAAGGCAAATTGTCAAAACACGTTTTCGAATACACAGCTTATTGACAACGAGAAAACTGTGGTTCTTCATACATTTGTTTGTACATTAATTAACATAACTGCGTTTCACTGCAGTTTCTTCTCTTTTTCCGCGTATCATAAAGACCAAAAATTTCGTAAATACAATATGCTTTATGAAAAGGAATCCTTTAGTAGTAAAAAAAGTATCGGTGCATGTTTCTATCATTTCTACTACAATTTCATTGCAGCTCGTATAATTATCCGAGCAAATTATTGCTTAATTTATAACTCATAGTTGCTGTATAGAATGTGTGTTTTATGTGGCATTTATATTTCGTCAACTGTATCGATATATCGGTCAACAAATTGCTCGACGTAAATTTATACTTTTAAAAATTAAAGTATGCGAGTTGACTTTCGTTCGACAACGCACGACCGTGTAACTAGTTTCTGATATTCATCGATTTTTCAACGGTATCTCTAGTTAGGGAATACAATTATTTGTTCATTATTTAGATATGTACATAATTATGATAACACACGTATATACAATTACAGTAATGTATTTAGATCCGCGTATTCACAATATAGATACAATTAATCCTTACTTTAAGTACTTAACTATTGCTTAATTATTAACATTATTAACAAATCGTTCGTTCATCACGAGATTCGGTCGATAGGCAATGTGTGAATTAGGTGTCTCATGTAATTTGTACAGGCACGTATAATTCTTCAAAAAAATACGTATAAAAGCTGTGCTAAAGAATGTACATGAATATACAATTTACGACGACCACATAACAGTCTATATTACGTCGCTGATAAAAAATGTACGCGATGAAACGAGATGAAATTGTCCAAGTCTGAAAATCGGCTGCATAAAGATATTTCCGCGATTTATGCAGCTTCGAGAACTGGCTCGTTACGTCGCCTTTCGCTAGACATTTCCAACGTGCCTGACATAGCCGCCCCACCACACGCGGTATGCCGCCACGTATTCGTTAACTAAACGATACCACATTGCTCTCATTTAGATAGTAAGATTTTCTACGCGCGTTGCCGGAAGCAGTAATCGGTCTATCAATACTGCGAATCCAGTGAAAGTGAAATCGCATTCTTTTGCCATTATTTTGTGACAAAGTTTTTCCCTAATTTCAAGCGTTTCAGCTCATCAATAATTATAATCTTATTCATTATGTAAAGATAATAAAAAATAATATAAATGTTGCGCGCCACTTGTAGTATAGTAGTGGTGTTCCCCGCGTATTCGTTTACGGACATTTCTCTCTTTTTTTCTCTCTCTCTCTCTTTCTCTCTCCCTGAGTTTCTTTCACCACCTTCAAAAGTATCGACTCAAATATCATGAGCCTATTTGCTAGGCTCATTAATTATCACAAAATGCTGTTGCATCGACTAAACCATTTCTCTTAAAAGTAATTTCAGTTCTTTTTGCTCATAGATTAACATTGACGATGAAATATTTAGTATCAGTAGTGAAATACTTTCATTATAAAAATGCAAATACAGGTGCACTTTCTTAAAAAGATAGACGAGAGAAATTTATTATTAAAATATGTCGCAAAATGTGCGTGTACAAAATGGTGTACAAATCTTCCTTTATACAACAATATGTTTTGAATATTATCAATGAAAATATTCTTATTGGGAATTATAATTAACGGGTGACGCAAACGTCAAGTTATGAACGCTTTGCGGTCTATCGGGCCAGCAAAAGTCATTATGGTAAATTACCATTACTGTTTTCTATTTCGTAACATCGAAATAACTGATAATTATGAATCTCCTCCTTCTCGCGTCATGCAAGAATGTCATACCAGAAAGACGTATTTTGCGGCATTACTACTTTTTAACCGAGAAGTTATTCAAAATAATTATTTTAAAAATGCATCTCGTAGGGACGTAATCATTTTGAATCGTAACATTTGCGTATTATGGTTCTCGAGTTGAAATATATTTACAGCAACGTATATAAATAAATGCAAGTCTATCGCTCGATTCGTAGAGACGGCAATAAAAATGTTAGAATCCCGATATGAGAATGTGCACTGCGCCAGCAAGCAGTTTCCATGTATCACCAATTCGTTCGTCTAATATTTACTTTATGCGTATTTACAAGTGCGTGACTGGCAGTGAATATTTGCACTATTTTAAAGTACCGTCTCCCGAATAGATGTTTACTTTTTATCGAATCTCGATACATGTATCACCCCATTACACAAATGCATTAATTATATTTGTACAATACCTATATCCGAAAGTATCGTTTAAATTACGTAAGGAAGACTTTGTTACTTGATTCCAACTTAAATTACAAATAAACGTGTAATTTATAACGGAGAATCACGTGGAGTTTCGCTCTTCTTCGCTCTGCTTCACAAATTGTATCGACTTATCGTGCCGCATGATGTTCCCCATTCATTGCCGTTCCAGCGATATACAAAATATGTAAAATCATCACAGCAACGAGTTTCGGACGGAAAACAAGATACATTCCGGTAGATTACGCCGAACTTAAAAGCTCTCTGCAACAATAATGATTTTAGGTCAGACAAGCGTATACCTAAGAAGCTGCTTAAAGGTCAATAAACACACTAACAGTTTGGCAAGAAATATATCAAGTAAGTCATAGCAATTAATATTTTCAAAAGCAAAAATTAATGATTTTATTATCATCTTATTAGAAATTGCGAAGAATCGCTATCTATTTGCAATATTATTTGCGTAAAAAGTATAGGAATATAATTAATGAAATTAAAATTGAGTGTTTGTATGAGATAAATAATCTGCCTTCCCATAATGTAAGCAGTATTTTTCAAACACGTGCGCATAAATAAAATTCGAAATTAGCAGCAATAGTTTTCTATTAGAAATGTAAATAAAAATTTATTTTTAAAGTGCAGTAATATACATAGAGACCAAGCATGCGATTCAAGCGTGCCTTATTTGACCGGCGAGCTGTCTGTTTGTGATTAATACGGTAGTACTTACGTCGAAAGTTCTCTCCCTAGTAAACCAGATCCGACTAATCCAGTACGCGATCGACTCCTATTTAGTTGAGCTCTCCTTTCCGCTGTAAAATTAAGATAAGTTGATATTGTTCCTATAGTAGATTTCATATAGTAAGCTTAATATAGTTTAGAGATGGAAGAATTTGTGGAGTCATATTATATAGTGGAATAAAAATATTTTTAACAAAATTATCTGTTTTATAAAAAAAAGCTAGACATTCGAATTTAATATATAATTCACTGCAAGACGAAAACGAGAAATTTGTGCATTGTTCACTTATTAACATAATTTGTTTCGTAACAGCATATACTAGATGGTACAACACATAACATTGAACATATCGAGGAAAATATGAAGACAAGCAAGTAACTCGTTATTGCATTTAATTGTAATTATACATATGTTTGTACAAAATGGTCTACTATATAATTCATTAAAAATTTGATTGTCTTGTGTCACATTTAAAATTTGCAATCAAAACAAAAATATATTAATAATTATGAAAATAATTTAAAGTTTTTTTCCTTTTTTTTGGGGCAACATTAGAAAATACAGAAAATTTACTTTAATTAAAAATTTACGCGTTACAATATATCAGTAACAAAAAAAAAAAGAAAAAAATTACATATTTATTTAAATCTCATTAAACTTGCAGTCTAGCTACATCAATTATCGAAATGGCATGAAATATTCTGATCTGTTCTTATCCTTATTTTACTATTACATTGTCATATTTTTTTCTAGTACTTTGTGTGTCAATAAAATATATTTGCATGCGTCAAATACGTACCAAACTCAAAATTAAGCATTTTCATTAATTATTCTATTTGTTTGAAATACTTGATTATACACAAATAAAATGTTCATATCACAGTATTATATCACAATTATCAATCTTGAAAAGTTGTACGGCACTTACAATTAGATGCAATTACTGTTCCATAAATAAGCAAAAGTTATTTGTATTATTAAAAATTTATACGAATTTTATTACTTTAAAAATAAAGCAAAAAAAACCTAGCAACGACTTCTACAACCTGCATTTTAATGCCTTTCACAATATATCCACGCAAAAATATAGTTAAAAACTTAATTTTTTTGTTGTCAGTCTTTCCTTTTTTAATATCAGTCTTATATTGACTAACGAAAAGCGAGATATATAATTATACATTAAACAGTATTCATGGATGTCTGCCAAAACTTCCATTTTTTTTTCCATGATCCATTCTTCGGTCTTTTAAATATATTACGACTACTTTTTGTACTTGATCCGCTTGTTTTCGATGTGTTTATGAAATGCAAGGGACTGTTTTCCGATAATAACTTAACTCCACTCATCTCGACCAACATCGGCGATTGTACTATACTTATTTGTTCGGCGCTCGAATACTTAGTAGATAGATTCAAGTTTATAGATCCATTTCTGAAATATTGCATGGTTTGATTTCCATCGTGATAACGCGCAAGGTTTTCAAAATTTTTCGATCTTAAAAGTTTGATCGGAGAAGACGCTGTCTTCAGTATTTTAGTGTGAAAACCATCGATTGAATTTGACATTCTTCTTTTTGCATTTACGGAATTTGTGTTTGTAACTGACGTGTTCGCGACCGGCGTATTGGTATTTATACTGGATGGACTTTGTAAGTTAGATGCCGATCGCAATTTACGACGCTTTGTAATCGTATTACTCGCGTGTAAACGTTTGCGATTGGATATAGCGCGGCGCACGATACTATTTCTTTTACGTATCTTGCTGACTATGACGCGCCTCTCTTTAACCGGACTAATCATGCGTGCACGATTAATGGACTCGCTGACGAAGGGGCTCGAGTAGCAATCAGCGTTAACACCTCTGGATTCCAAGTTTCCAGGTGTTTTTAACAAAACATCTCTTCTTGGCGTTTCGCCAGACACTGACGTAGCTGCGTAATACGTATGATTACAACAGTCGCACGATCGCTTTTTTTGAAAGAACATGACTCTAGACAAATGCTTCATTTGCTGCTTCTTTTTCACCTCGTCTAACTTAGGCGTCTTTTTCGCCTCGTCTATCAACATTTGCTTGAAGAGATCTTGGTTTTCTTCCGGAGTATAGAAGCTCGTTGAATCATCCACCGTGTGTAATTTAGTCATAATTCTGTTCGGAAGCGCGTCGCGTCGTGCAATTGATGTCTCAATCGGAGATAGATTTTCATAATCACGCGTCAAATTAGTGGATTCGTCTAAAGCATTACTAAATATATACGGTCTAGTCGTTCGGTCCTTCTTCATTTTTCGCCTCTGGATGAACGTAGTCCTATAGAACTTACCACCAGCTACACGTGTTTGCCGTTTGCGTCGTTGGTCCGGTCGACTGAAGGCTGATCCAGTCTGCAGAGCTTCCATCAGACTGTCCATGACACCTTCCTGTGTCTCGTGCGCGTTCATGTCGACTAGTGCGCGTTTACGCGCGGCTCGCGCCGCCTTTTCCACTTCCGCTTTCTCGCGCGCTTCTCTTGCCCGCCTCTGCTTCTCCTCGCCTTCTTTTAATTTAATTATTTCCCTCTGCGATTGCTACGATGAGAACAGGCTTGTCAAACATCGATTCGTTAACAGTGTGTTTCCGAAATTTGCGTGTATTTACCAAGAAATCATCTTTGAATGTCTTGAGATCGCCGAAGAATTCCTCTATGGTGTACTTCTGTCTGTCGAAGGAGTAGAAATCGGAGACGTCCGTAAATAAGCTGTCCATATTCTTGAACATATTCTGCAGCACTTCGTAGGACTCCCTAGCTTTCTTAGCAAATGGCTATAAAATAATTTCATTAAGGAAATATTTTTATCTGATAAATTGGGCATCTAAAATCGATAAATAATCATTATTAAAAGACATCAAGTAAAAGGATACTTTCATAACATCGATAAATAGATCTTCATTGTCTTGCGGAATTTTAGCATTTGCGAGATCCTGTTCGAGATTACGGATATTGGTATCCATCTGACGTAACGTCCGTTGAACATTCTCCAAAGACACCCGACTGGCGCGATCTACATGCGGTAATTCATCTATGAATTTGAGACACTCTGGATACTTTCTTTCTATCGTATCCACCAAATAGTGCATGAGAGTTTGTTTGTTATCAATGTCTTTAGTACTGGTCAACTGAAAAAAGATATAACATGAAACAATAATAAGTATAATTCTGATATTGCATTTACATATTGTGAAACAAACCTTTGTGAGAAAACTGATTTCGTATCCAAACGCTTGGCCATTTCTGGAACCGGAATTCATAACATTTCCAAATAACAGTATTAACTGGAGAATCTGCCTGAACTTTTGGCTATTCAACACTTCTTCGCACGCCGCCGTAACCGCTACTATATCAGGTTTCACGTCTTGCATTAGTTCGTCGTACCGCAACATAAAGCTCAGTGATCTTAGCCTTGGCAGTAATCTTTTTATTGTAGATATCTGCAGCATAAACACGTTTCCAAATTTTAACAACTGTTAATGCGATTAAATTTAGATGTAATAGATTGCATAAAAGTTGCAAGGAAGATTACCGTAACGCAGAATTGTTCCGCTTCAGTTAAATCGTCATATTGATCTTTGTACATTTGTAATTTCGTCAGTTGATCAGGTGGCGGCAAATACTGAATTAATCCTTGCAATATGTTGTCCGAAATGACTGGTCCCTCGCATCTAAACAAACATCTTTTCACTTCTATGTAAGGCATGTGCTTCAGTGTTCCACCGAGAAGTATCGATATATTTTGTGCTGCTTTACTATCCAAAACTTTGAGGTCCTTAACTTTCTTCATTGGAGCTGACCTGCGTGTACGAAAAGATTTATTGATATCCTACGATATGCAACGGAAAAATGATAAATGAATCGATAAAATGAAATTTACTTATCAACTACGTCGTCGACTTTCTTCCCACTCGGTTTTGATGCAAACTTTTGCGTGAGACCATCCAATATTTCCGGGGTAGCTAACCTATCCTCTTGTACTTTCGTCCAGAATGATTTTTCTGTTAATTTGTGAGGCAAAATCTGAAAACGCCATAAAGCTTTACATAAGCAGGGATCACCAGGAAGTAGAATCAAATATTGTATTTTAATGAAAAATGAATCACACATACTGCCTTCCAATTAGCTCTCTTCAATGGGCCGTCTATTTCCCATTTCTTTTTCGGTTTTAGCCCGGGAGGTAAAGCTTGCATCGGTGGAGGCGGCGGAGAGAATGCCCCCATCATCGGTGGCGCTGGAGGACCCATTCCGGGCATAGGTGGTGGCGGAGGTCCCCCCATTCCAGGCATAGGTGGAGGCGGAGGCCCTTTCATCCCGGGCATAGGTGGCGGAGGTGGTGGCGGTGGACCCCCGCCAGGAAGGGGAGGAGGCATTGGCGGCAATGGTCCTCCCATTCCAGGCATAGGTGGCGGAGGCGGACATACAGCAGTTCTCTATATATTTATATATAAGTTTATAAAAATATGTATGTGTTTAAAGAAAAATTTCATCACTAAGTTCATTATATTTAGACTCACGGGACCGCCAGGTCTCGCTGTTCCTTGCTCCAGTTCCTTGATCTTGTTCTCCGCATGCTGGAGCTTCGCCTCGGCCTCTTGTTTGCTGGCTATTGCTTCCTCTAACTTTTGCGTCACTTCTACCAGTCGACGTTCCTCCTCGGCCCGTGACTTTTCGACTAGGGTATCGATCAACGGTTGTACGTCAATCTGGAAGCGCTTTGTCGCGCTAAAATCCGGATCACAGCCTGAACGATGCAACACAATTTGCGATATACACTCTTCGATTAATTTATAATATGCCGGTCTGAAATAAACAAAGTACGTACAATTAATTCTGTCGTTAATCGGCAGAAAGATAAAACGTATTGCGTGATGATTCACTGATGAAACGAAAAGATGACGGCGACAAAAAACGTAGTGATACTTACCGGATTTGAGTGTCATCTCGAACGAATAAAAGATGTTGAAGTATAGAGAGGAAGTATGGTTCGGCGGAAGTATCCATCACCATATTTTTGACTACTTCGAAGCAGTCATTAACGTCATCTAATTCTAAGCGCACGTTATCGAATCTCTGCACAAACTCTTCATAATCCTCCTCTTTGTGATCATTAAAGATTTTTAGATGCGTCGCCAGGTCTTCTGACTCGTCTTTCTCCAGCATTTCGAGAATGTCAGCTAAACCGACTCGCATTACTTCATTTCTCAAATGTAAGCGAAAATCTAGATCCTCGGCGGACGATATTATCGAGTTTATGAGTTGAAGGCACACTACCTACAGCATAACAAATAAATAATGTTGAAATCTTATATTTTAAATATAGAAATGGTTTCGAACGTCAAAATGCACATTTCGTTCATTTTTATGCTTTATAATCTTATATTATTTGGCAGGCCTAGAACTTTATGACAATGCATTTAAATCTTATATTATAGAATTCTAGACCATTTCTTTCTTTAAAATATAAGATTTCAATGCATCGCAGTACAGAAAATGTAGGTACATTTTAAAGTTCTAACCTTTTAAATGATATAAGATTCTAAGACATAAAAATGAATAAGGTGTACATTTTAACATTAATGCAAAAGATAAAATATTAGACAAAGAGTAGAAAGAAATGAAACTTACCCTTAAATTTTCATTCTTCTTATTCATCAACCCCTGTACAATTGGCAAGAATCTTTCGCGACCTTTGAACTCGCCATTCATAGTAATCGCATCCAAAACCTTTTTGTGACTGTCGCTAGATATGAGACACACCGCGCCGAGCAACTTTACAGCTTCGGACATTACGGACGGCTTCGTCGGCTCCAATGATCTGGCTACGATAGTGAGAGCCTCGTGGTGGGCCAACATCTCTTTTATGCCCACTGTGTTATTCATAATAGCCTTTAAGCAGCGAATACACTCGTACTGTATTCGCTCGTAACGATTATCACTAGAGAAAGACAAATGTGTCTCAATAACGTAGAATAACATACACGTATTCGTATAATAAAATAAATTCTGCTGTAAGCAGCACGCGCAGCACGCGCATCATGCAAAACTGAAGTGACAGTTAAGTGGAAAGTAGAAATGTTTCGTTAACTGAGCAGCGCAAATAAAATAATTAATTGAACTCTTTTGTAATGCACGGAAATCTTGCGCTACGAAATGAAATCGTTCGCGCTGTGACTAGCGAAACTTCGCTCTTGCGTACAAAGCTTGAGCGAGTTGAAAAATATAAACGTAATGAATATTGTTGCAAAACATTCAAGCAAATAGTACTTTTACATGAATTACCTATCATAATATATGAGGGCACTGGAATAGAACAATATCAATGTTAGAATAAATATTATACACAGCGGCCGATCTAACGATCACGGGACACTTCTCGTTTAGGCGTATAGAAATCACTTACTTTCGATAACACTCATTTAGAGTGGCCAGGACCTGCTTGAGTCCCTTGGTACCGAACTCTTGCACCCAGCTCAGCGGATTGTTGGTGAGTGCGATCCTAAGGGACTCGATGCAACTGTAGATCTTGTTGACGCTCAAGTCGGGCTGCGCCAGATACTGTATGTAGTCCGCCGGCTTGTCGAATTTCGATCGGGTGTCCTGTATACTGCCCTTGTAATGCAGAACCAGCATTTCCTTCTTCTTCGACTCGGATTGTTGCCGCAACGGTTCCTTCTTCTCCTCCGTTAGATTCATATTAGCCTGAGCAAACGGTGACGATTCATTGATTTTTAGAACATTATTATCAAAATATTATTTTACACGTTGACGAGACATTTAATTAAATATACAAACACATTGAACACACTGTTTGCACACTATCGGAGCAAAACGTATGTGAAACGAAGAGAAATGAAGAATAAATTGCACGTTTTATTGCGCGTTTCAGTGCGCGCTGTTAGAAAGAAAATATTTCTACAAGCTTAATTATCGCGGCAGATAAAACGCGTGTGTCATGCGTAAGTTACCAGCATTTCTTCGAATCTGTCGTTCACCGTCTCTTCGTCCATCTTCTCGATAATGCAACGCTGTTGCTCGATCTCGTTGAAATCGTCGCCGGAATGCGGCCTGGGCATGGTGTTGCTGCCCGAATAGCCGCGCGGCCCACCCCCGCGGCCGGATTTCTTCGGCCGGCCGAACCATGTGTCCAACTGCAACAATCATTCGACAACTCAGTTTATTATTTATTTATTAGAAATTAATTTATTTTTAATTGTTTAATAAGATTTCCATTTTAGTTTAGTGTAAAAAGGTATTTTATGGAAAATATCGCTATACTACTATCGTACTGATTTTCTGGAACATTTTATATAATATTTGCATTGGTTTAGATAATTAACTCTTGAATGTCTGAATAACAAGATAAAAACTATGACAAGATTTATGTAAAGCTTGTCTTAGACGATTTATAATTCGTGACAGAAATATTTTACATAATTCTATCTCGAATTCTATCGCGAATTATGTATGAATCATTGTTTTTATCGTGATTTATTAATCTGAGTCCGGAAATCATATTACAGATTTCTAGTTTCAAGATTCCTTGCAATTTTTCCATATTCTTGTTACGTATAAGATATATATATATTTGTTTTCACAAATTATTAGATTTAAAAATCTTCAGTTTTCTATGCTTCATAGTTTTTATTAAATATACTTTAAGCGATCTTCGTGACAGAATTCGAAATAGAATTTGAGATAAAATTAAAAATAGAATTCTACCTCGAATTTTGTCATAAATTATAGATCGTTTAGAGTGAATTTAATATATAAATTATAAAATTTAGAACTAAAAACTTCTAAATTTAACAGTTTGTGAAAACAAATATATTACATGTGATATGGAAAGATTTTAAGGAATCTTTAAACTAGAAATCTTTAGTGTGACCTTTGGATTCCGAGATCAATGCAGTAAATCAATGTGATAAAAGCAATGTTACCGTAAAGGTAACAATTTAAAAGATTTAAATGGGGCCGAGAAGTGCGCACAACCTCGATCGAATGTAAATTCAATCGGCGAGATCGCTTCGATAAAACACATTCCGATATCAGAGTTCAATTGTAAATATTTCCCTTTGCGGTGCGCGAATCGAGTTTTACAATGACATAATCATCGAAGAAGCAACAACTTATGCTTGTTTGTGGTTTGTAGCATACATGGGGAGTACGTCAAATTTTTCCGAGATGATGCGAAATTGCGCGCTGGAGCTGGAAGCAATTATTCCATCCACTTACCGCGAGATAACTGAACACGCACTTACACGATACGCAACACATTTGATGCGTGAAGGTGTTAAACAAGCGACCGAAACGTCGTTCCATCGCTACTAAATTCCGAAGAATTACTGTGCACCGAAATCGAGGCGCGATCGACGGCTACGAATAGGCAGGCGGACGTGACGCAAAGTAACACGCGCACAAAATTAATTAATGTCATTATAAATTCTTCGATTGTCCGAATGTTAGGTAATACAGTTAAATAACAACAATCCTATGCGTAGACCGTCATTTTTTTTTCCATGTCATTTTCCGCATACGATAAATGCTAATGCTTCTCGGGTTGCGTCTACAATGTGAAAATAAAAATACCGCGACAATTCATATGTTTTTTTTTCTCGTTGAACATGAGATATTAGCATTTTATTCTATGTATGCTGTTGCGAAAACTCGACGGAATATTTAACCCGACGATTATTAACTTTGCAGTAATGATGTAATTTGCAATAGCATTAGTGATGACATCACGAATGCTAGAATTTTAATGTTCATTTACACAAAATAGAAGGTAGCACGTAATGTCGCACGTAATGTCGCACGTAATGACAAAGCAACACGACAAAACTAATGATCGGCTAATATATATATTTATGTAGGAATCTAAAACACTAGACAAATGACAATTTTACTCAATCTTTCCCTTATCAATTCTGACAATTTGTTTTCTTTCTTCTTTTTTATTAAATTCATCAGTCATTGAAGCTATCTAAATTTAGAGGATTATTTTGAATTTATCGACAAAGCGTAATCTATTTTTAACTTTCTCAATTTAACACAAAGATTGCACAGTTCTAAAAATTGTTAATATCCTTGAATTCCATATAAACGTGACAGTCGATCGGAAGCTCACCCAGTCCGTGATCATTGCGTGATATTCGCGATGACACTCTTCGGGAACGATCAGACCCTTCGACGAGCGACGACGAATGACTCACATCAGACACGCGCGTCAGGTCGCAAGTCCAAGCTTTACGAGTGAAGTGATAAACGCACCTTTATTTTTAGGCGAACCCACACAAACCCGCGACACTTATATTCGCGTATTCGCAACTTTTTTCACTGAGACGATGCTTCGAGACATCGGCGTGAGGGAAAACAATTTTTTCAGTTCGCATCGTGCGAGAGGCTTTTATCGACTTTCCCGCAGCTTCCACCGAAGCGCGTTATTTCTTTCGACGGATACACTGGCTGACGTTTCCGTTCAAACGTCGATGACCATATAACACTGCTAGCCGTGCGTTTGTATTCGCGAATACGAATAGTTCAGTCGCTCGTAGTAAAACCACTCGGTTGAACGCACGTTTCAAATGATGCACAAAGGAATGACATGAAAAGAATGACGTGTACACGAGCAAGCAATTGATATGTCAATTAGCTGGACGGATTAACGTGGACAAATCGGCCGGTCGATAAATAAGACGATTATCGTGACAGATAAAATTGTCTCTGATGATTGATTGATGAGCTTCGAGAGAAAAGCCCCCTCGATAGGATCAAAGAATATTCACTCCGTTAAAAAAGATAGATTCGCGAGCATTCACGATAAATGATATCAATTAGCAATAATGTAAATATTATTGATATTCATGTATGTTTTAGACGAACGAACTTTTGCGAAGAAATAATGAGAATGTGATTTTTGTAGACGACTGGAAAACTCGCGATAAACTCCAAGTATTGCAATATCATTAATTATCATCGTGCTGTTTCTTTATTTCAAGTATTGTCACGATACCGATTCTCCCACGCGTCATTCACGATTACGCAATCGTGCACTCGTGAACTGTCAAGTGACTTGGCGAACGAGGAGAGAAAAAGAGGATCGAACGGAAACCGCACGTGACGAGGAGCAGCGAGAGACTGGCCGACGATCGCTGCATGCCGGTCCAAAGCGCTTGAATACACGCGATCCAGCCATCCCTTCCCTTCGGTTTTAACTCATGAACGTTCACACCATGCGCGTACTTCGATCGGACTGCAAATTATTTGTTATAATACTATTAAAGATACTCAACGTGAGAGATAGAGATCCGACCTTTAAAAAAGAAGAAAATAAAACCCCATGTTATCGGAGATTATATATGGAATATATAATTGTCCCAGACAACCTTCCTCGTTTTGCTCAATTAGCTTAATTAGTTGATATATTAGCGCCGCAGTTATATATAAAATTTCTCATTCATATTTTTTTGAATAAGCTTTAATAGAGTGGGATTGTTGTTGCGCTATTTATAAGTAATATTAGTTATCGTCGTGTGATGATTTTTCCATAAACTAGGTTTTAGAGATATAAATAGGAGATAAAATCTTTTTCTTTATTCATTCGTCATTGTATTCATCATTCTATTCGTTAATTTAATTATTTTATTGTTACTAGTGTTGTTTTTTTTCTAGTCTTTGATTGTATGTGAGAATTCTTAAAAGACTATATAAAGCTGAAATTATTTCCTCCTCTTTAAATGGTATCTTGTAGATCTTTGCACAATTGTTGCGCAAAAAGAGAATTATTTTCGATACAAATGCAGTGCTCATAGCGGCACATTCACGGTTAAATCCGATGCGGCGAAGCGATTCGCAATGCGACATTACCGCAATTGTAGAAAGTTCGCTACTCTAGACAACAGGCAGACTTCTTTGATCTCTCATAAAAGATTATTGTCATAGGCTCGTGCCTTCACGCTCATGATTCATTTCATTGTGTAGTTTTACCTAAAGTGTCTTAAATTTCATACATTTTCTTCCGTTCATCAATTCTTGGACTAATAAGCTTACAAATGGTTCCTTTTAGCAAAAATTTGACGCCATTTTATATTAAATATTAAATATTTTTGCAAGTGACACTTAAAATTGTATAAAAATAACTTGATATTAAATAAAGACATTTTCAATTCACACTCTTAAGGTAGCAATTACTACTTGAAAATGATTCGCCGTATATAAAAAAATTATTAATGTTGATTCAATGGAAAATATACAAAAGGAGACGTGTGTAGAAAACCCATGAAAGACGAAGATAAAAAAAAATCACAAGATAAAAGAAAGATCCAGGCAATTTGTCGTGCGTCGAATTTCGGGCGTATCGCAATTTTGTAATAGCTAATCGATGACTTGTTATTTCGACGTTGCTCGCTCGCGCGTAAAGGTGTGCCCGCATGCGTACGTGTGCATCTATGTATATATACAGTCGGTACAGTTAGGCCGTAACGTAAGATTAACATAACGGCATCATGGTGGGATAAAAGAAACCAAAAG